TATATATTTGTTGATAAGATGAGCCATTTTTTATTTAAAATATAATGTGGAAACAACTTAGTTAAAATTCTAACTAAAGCTTCATAAAGTATTTCAATATTTTACATATTTTCTGCTCCACAAGCCATATCTAAGCGTGATCTGATTTTGCGCAGGAAGCTGAATGAATCACAAAGCTCTGAACAAGGACAGAAGTAGATTTGTGTGGTTCTCAGTGCGCACCGAGGCCATCGGGCTAAACTGCGGCCTTGCTGCGAGCAAGACACTGCTCTGAGAAACAGATGAGGAAACAGATTGCATCTCGCAGACTGACAATCTGCTTGCCGGGTTTCTTATACTTTAGAGAAGAAATATCTTGGGCCAGGCCTGTACACGGTGTAGCTGCACTAAGGAAGGATAAGCAAAGAATGGAGCCATTCCCTGCCACAGCCTGCCAAGTGTAGAAGGGGGAAAAAAACCAGCTCCACGCAGGCTGCTCCGCCCTCCCATGAGGTTAAATGGCAGTAGCCAACAAAGAGCAAGAAGAGGCCAACTCACCCTTCCCTACTACTCTGTGCCAGTTCACATTAATTCATATTCTATCCCATATTCCTGTTAACAACCCAAAGCTCTTTTAACACATAAAGTTTAAACAGATTAAAAATTAGCATCTAATCAAGAACAACCCGTTTTTCTTTTGGTTGTAACATATTAGTAGGGCAGAAGTCACACACATGACTGCATATGGCAAAATGATATAAGGTCTCTGAGATACAGGAAAACCATCAAAGTTTTTTTTCCCTAAAAAACACTTTGAAAGAAATTAAGCCTGTCTCTATCCAATAATGAAAAACTGGTTGGTCAATGTTCTGTATATGCAGATGATCATATTGAAAATACCGGTTTTGTTAGAAACACTTTTCTTATGTGTTAAATCATTTAATGTACATTTAAGGATTTGGGATACAGGAATTAAATTATACATTCTGTTAGAGGGACTGAGGGATTTCACTCTCAAGTTTTCATATGTATACTGGAATAATATAAAAAAGTGAAATAATTTAAAAATCTGAAAATTCTCTTTGCAATCTATTACGCACCTAAAAAAATATATTTTTTTTTTATTATGAAACATAGTTAATGTATTAATGTGTGACAATTCTAGGAAGTGGAATCCCAGATGAGACAGAGAAAAGAAACTTCCCTTACAGTTCGGTCTTGTAAACTCCGAATGTTCTCTGAGGTGCCTCAAAATATCCTCATTTCATAGTAAAAGAACAGATCCCAACCCTGCTCTACTTTGGGTTGGAGCCTGTAGCCTATACACACGTAACACATCTTTAGATGTCCGAGTGTATCCCTCCTAGAATTTAGCTGTATCTCCACAGGGCATTGTTCTTTGTTGAAGTCCATCAGCCCATGCAGATGCCTCAGAAACTCATGGCCATCTAAAATGCCAACAAATACCCAGGTTTAAGCAACTAAAGTACTCTATGCCATTTGTTTACTGAGAATTATACTTGCTCTAGTATGTTGCAATGCCTTATGCTAACTTTTGCATCTGAGAAATTCACCCTCAGTATATTCACCCATAATCTTTATATTCCAGAGCAAAGTATGGAGACTGAGGTAGGGGACCACAAACTGACCCAGAGCCTTTAATTGCTTCTCTTGAACTGAAGCAAGTTATATGGTCTACACAGTCAAACATCACTGATTTGTTGTCATTGCTTTAGATAAATCAGTTTGGGCGTGAGGTCTTACCTTGTATTTATTACAGATATTCGGGTTCATATGACCTCTTAATTAAGCATATACCATTTTTATGCACTTCAGACATACTCTGCTTTAAGCATATGTTTAAATCTTCACAGAATTCATTCACATATTTGTATGTGTGCTTAAATAGCCTTCTGGAACAGTGTTGTTTTCCTGAACTGTTGTCATAATTTAGTATAATGACTTACAAGTTAGAAGTCAGCCCTTTAAAAATTAGATAATTTCCTCTGCAATTAACATCAATGAATAGGTTCAACTATAAAACAACCATAAAAAGCTTGCCCTATTTTTCCCCCAAGTACCATAAAATATACTGAGTCAGGAAAAAAAAGTTATAAAAATGTAAATAGGAGATCAGAGCTCAGATAGTTTGTTCCTTGGTTCAGATACCAATCGATGTGTATTTTTCAATTCATGAATATTAAATTTCATTCACAACGTACATAATTACTGCAAAGCAAATTTCCACAAAAGAAAAGGCATCAAGGCATGGAGAGTTCAGTCGCATAAACTAAGTTGTCTCCAGCGCTAAGAAGAAATCCAAAGGGAAAGTGTACTGACACTTAGACCAACATATAGGGCACAGTATTAGTCCATTTGTATGCTGAAAGACTTGGGCTTTTCCAACCTAATGCCAGCAATGGCATTGCCAAAAAGAGAAAGCAAAAGCAACACGGACCTTTCTCACCACAACAGGACACGTACAGTTCTGGGGCACCATTTTAGGAATTAAGCAATAATGATGATCAATGAAACACCAGGAATTACTGTCAAACACAATGTCTCCTAAAGATTCTATAAAAAAAAGAAAAATATGGCCTTATATTTTTTCTATTGCTTTCTCGTTGTTATAACTTTCAAAAGCAGTTTTTAGTCTAATGAACTGTATGCAAAAAATACTACTATAGCTCTACTAGTTAGCTACTTCAACTGGTTTTCTATTAAAAAAAAAAATCTTCAGAACCCACTCCAGCCTCAAATTCAAACTTTTATACCATACAATTATGGCTCTTCTACAACTTTGGTATTTTCAGTAAGTGTTGATTTCCTAAGCAGGATCAAGATGTTAGCATGACTCCCTTTCAGTACCTTCTTTTGTTTCTGTGTTTCTGTACCAAGATAGATCCAGCCTTAATCTTGCATGTCATTCTGGACTGAATCAATAATTGATGGCATCATTTAGATCATGCAACATCTCCAAAAAAAAGGTATGTTAAAGTACCTAGTATATATAATTATTTCTTGAAAACACTTTCTATAATTCATACTACCTTCTACTTTGAGCATTCATGGTGAAGTCAATGAAATTATTAAGATTCCCTCTAAAATGCATTATGTTCAATAGTGTGTTAGACTATGAATGTTTATGCATCAATCCATTACTGAATTCTTTTTGGATGTATTCAAATAACTTCTTTAAAATGAGAAATATTCTGGCAGCTGTATGCTACTTTTAATTTTTGGAGTTACGTTTACAGAAGCCAGACATTCTTTATAACATTACTAAGATAAATAAACATAAATAAAACAGTACGTTTTACTTTCCTTTACTTCTCTTTAAGCTAAGTGCACTTCCAGAAAAAAAAAAAAAAAGACTACAGTTGAGTTTACAACCTAAAATACTTAGATTCTGAGTAACAAATAATGACTGTCATGATCCATCTGTATACACAAAACACATGGTTAATGTATTCCATATACACAAAGTAAAACATTGCTGTTTAATAAAAAAAGAAAAACACAAGCAAATACACTTCCTCTGGGTATACAGAACTTGTATACAACATGAAGTAACAGTGTAAGAATATAGCACAAGCTCTAGCCCTGAAGAAAGACACCACACAAATCATGCAGTAGAACTGGATTATAAATGGCTAGTCATTGTACTGAAGTGAACTTACTTCTGTACTTACAAAAAATGGGTATCACATTTTAAGATTCGTATTTTAAATTCAACCAATTGCCTGGCATACTCCTTGCTAAGCAGCCTTTTCAAGTACAGTACAAATGCAATCACATGGTGTGTTTTGATTTTGGTCAATGGGCTAGCAATTAAACAATGGCGCAATAAATAATTGAACTGGGGCACCACAGAACTTTGGTAAACTATGACTATCCAAACTGTTGTTGTTTACATCACTGAAACAAGCTTTAAAATAGCAAGAATTTATAATAGAGTTTAAACAGGTATAATTGGACAGTTGTACTAAATTTCCTCTGATAGGGAACACTGAAATAATATAAATATATTGACGAGGAGGTACTGGCTATAGAACCACAAATATATTTTCATTTAAGCAAGTTCCATTTCTCTAGGCCTTTTCTTTCTTTCCAAAAAAAAGAACCCAAACCAAACCAAAACCCAAAACCAAAATTTATTCAAGTTCTAGGTCAATGGTGTTTTGGTTCATTTTGTCTTCTTTTGCTATGCCTAGTGTAGTATTGAACACCAGCACTGGACTGCCTGCTGCAGACCTTCTCTTGTTTGAACGCTGTCAAATGTCATAAGCCCATGTGATAATGCTCTTACTTAAGAGTAAGAGCATGATGAAACTTAACATCAAAGCCATGCTGCGGATTGCCTGAAATATGAATAATGACTAAAGTTAAGTCCTTTCACCCAACATTGCCAATAACCCAGTTACACTCCAGTAAATCCAGGTGCCTTGGAAGTCATGCTGCTCTTCCCTAACCTGCTCCATAAGTTTTACACCTCCTCAGCCTCGATGACCTCTTACAAAAAAGATTCTCTTTGTTTTGTAGACTCATTACTACAGCACGCCTAATTTATTCTGCAAGTGAGGGTAGCAACTATGGGTGAGGGTATGGGGTGAAGCTATGGCTTTTTACACAGAATTCCACAATGCAATGCCTTGTCTGCGATTAATGCTTCCATCTGTGGTTAGAAGTAGCAATTTGAAGATGAAATATCAAAGGAAGTGTAATTAGTACATTATGCATGTTAGCCCAGCAATAAAAATGTAAGTTCTGCACCACAGCTCGTAACAGAATGAACAAGTACCTTACAGACGCATTGAAGGCAAGCAATTCAGTATCACTACATTAATAAAATGACTGCCTGTGACTTTAAACACAGGCACACTTGTACTTGGCTAGAGAGTGAACGATTTATGGTTACTATGAAGGATGCAGGAATGGAAATGGAGATGAGAGGGGCGATGATGGTGATAGGGAAGAAGAGGTTAACATCCCCAGCATCTGATGGGGAACGATGTCCCTACCTCAGTAAGCTGGATAAGGGGATAGCTCCAGATCCACTGCCCAGGATCCCTCCTTTCCTCCCAGAGAGGAGTTTCTCCACCAGAGCCACATTCCCAGTGCGAGCAGCTTCCAGCAGTTCCTGGTCCTTCCCCATGGTCAGGAACCGAGCAGCCCCCCACGCACCCCGCCGCGCGCCAGGAGACCCACACCCCGCGCCCCCCGCTCTCCGCGGCGCGGTCTCCCCTCCCCAGACCCTGCCTCGGAGCGGAGCGGAGCAGATTCCTGCAGTCCCTTCCAGACCAGCAGGAGCAGCAGCAGGAGGGAGGAGGAGAATCACCTCCTCCTAGTTTCACTGGATCATTTCTGGGTGGAGTGTGGAAGAGAAGGGGGGGGGAGGACGAGGCCAATAAAGAACCTCCCCCCCCCCGTGC